TACGCCGTAATATTTGCATAAGTTTACAAATCGTAAATCTTACGCAATACTTCGCATTAAAAATATTCCTGATGATTTTAATACTTTAAGCTCTGATAGCATAATCTATATATAATTAATACACTACATATAAGCATTTTAAATAAAAAAATCTCATAATTTTTAGCAAATCAAGTTTGCTAAAATTTTGCTAAAAAAAAATTTTTTATTAATACATGCAAAAATAAATATAAAATTTAGGATCTAGCTCATGATATATATTATTTTTTAATAATTTTTTTAATTCTAATCTTTTGCTAGTTAGAAAACTATCTATATTAATATGATCCTTTAATAACTCTATAATTATACTAATTATTCTATTTACATTACTTCAAAATAATATGAAATTATCTTTAACTACGAACTTTGTAAAATTAATTTAGTATTCGTTTCTATTTATAAAGTATATACTATTAGAAGGAGGGATTTTATTAAATGGTACCTCTAATCTACTTTAAATTGCAGTCTTGAGATCATTATAACGATCACCTCTGTGAATTGTAATTAATTGCATTACTTTAATGTATGAAATATTCATAAGTTTACCTATAGGAACGATAAGACAATTGATAGTAATATTATTATCATCCATTTTGACTCCTAAATGCAAGTGAGAAAATTGCTTAGCCCACTCGTATTAAAGAACATATACTATACATATCTTATTTTATATTATTTTTTACAGAAATATTTTTTGCAGAAAGTTGGCTGAACTTTCACATACCATTATATGCTTTATATTTTGCTAGAAAAAGTTAAGGAGGTATGAGACATTATTAGCATTGTCGTCTGATGCTAAGAGCTCTATAAAAGCACATGTAAATGGAATCTCATACCTTTTTCACATGAAGATCTACTGAAAAGACATATAGTTAGTTTTACGCTTAACGATCTCAGAATTGCAAGTCCCTTAGCCTTTCATAACATATGCTTTTATCAGCACTATTTACTTGTAGGGAAGATCCTGTGTTGCATGTAGATCTTCTTTCACATTTTTCTCATGTTTGTTTGGGAAAAAAATAGAGATACTGGTTAGCATATATATTTTCTTTTCGTTATATGCAAAAAAAATAATATATCACATAAAACTTGACTGATGATCTACTTATTTTTTGTCGCATAGAAGCATATACATGTGGCTTAACAAAAAAAATGTGATCAATAATCACCACTCTAGACTATTAATCTAGCCAACTCTGAATCAGAATACCATTGCAAATTATCTTGCATACTTAGATTTAAGAGGCTCTGAAGGCTCTAAGTTAAAATCTGTCTACTAGCAATATTATTCTATACAAGATAATTTCTAACTACTCTAATAAGATCAGGAGGCATTAAAGTTTTCACAAAATCCTCTATGTGGATATCTGGATTTAGCTGATTCACAGCTTTTTTGCTAATATTATAACACCTCTTAGATTAAGAAATTTTAAATTAAGACATGATCTAGCAATTTCTTTGATAATTATATCAGTAATTTTATAAAAGCTAAGGTCAAGTTGCTGAAGTCTTAGGCAAGAACGAATAATATTACAAATTGATATTTCAGAAAATTCTATGTGTTTAGAAATATTTAGACATTCTAATTTATAATATGAATTTGCAATTGCAGTTAGACCTATATTATTTTTTAGCTGAAATTCCTCACGTAAATTAGATATATTGAGATACTCCAAATTTGAGTATGATTCTGCTATTAGCTTTAGAACTTTACCTATATAGTTCGTATTTCCTTCGAAATCTAAATAAATTATATTTTGGAAAGTATGCACAATGCCTTTGATTTTTTATTTAAAAGTGAACGGTAGTGTGTTATTTTAAGATGAGTTAGTTTTGAGCTATAAACTAGTTTTCTTTCTCCTTCAGGTACTATTTTTAAAAATCTTTCTAATCGAAATTTATTCTCTACTTTGTCTTCTTTTAACTTAATGCGTCTTCATAAAATAGGGCACTGCATCTGTACTATAATCGGAAAATATATAGAGTAGGATAGAAGGATTTATCTATTGCTAAAAAATGTAAAATCTGTTCTAATAATTCTGATAAATAAAAGATGCTTGATTGTACTTTTTTTCTCATATTTATTGAAAAAATATATAAAATATCCTATTTGTGAATTCAGATCAGAGAAATAAAAAGCATGTTTGATTTATTATTCCAAATCTTTAAATGAGGGAGTGAACGAATTATACAAAAATAATATATTCAATAAAAGTATATTACTACAGATCATGTGAAAAGGCTTTATTGCCAAAACTATTGTGAATAAGCCTTTCGATCTGTTCTTTGATAAAAACATTTCCACATATTCTTAATTTATCTAAAATTTGATATAACCTAATAAAAGATTCTAAAGGTTTCTCATAGCCTAACTGGATCTTTCCCTCTTGATTGAGGCCTCTACGGAAAGATTTTTTCATCACTTCTCTGCGCAAGTCTGGATCTGATAATGAAGTATATACCTTATATTTCTGATATACCTCAAAAAATTCATTTAGTAATTAGTTATCTTGAACCGATGCTAGACTATCTTTACCTCTTTCAGGTTTTAATATTGGTGAAATTAGAAGGAGTATTCGATCTAGCCAATTAAGTGTATCTTTTACTTCAAGAAGGCTATTTATTGTTAGCATAGCTAACTAGTTGTATTTATATTTTATCTTTAATCAAAAATAAAAGTATGTGATCACTGCTTCAGATTAAGGCTTTCCAGTATCTCATCTAATGTAAGTGCTTATAAACCATCCATTAAAACTTTAATCTTATTTTCAAGTGATAATCCTTTTAATAATACGCATTTAAGAAATTCTTCACTATGACCAAAACTCTTGTTATACTTTTCTAGCTTTGAATAAAAATCTTGACTGTATTTTCATCTTGAACTAATGATATAGTATGAAAATCGAAAAAAGTTTTTCTTTTGGACCATTCAAGATCTACCTCCTTTGCCTATATATCATTTATACTGTGAAAATTTTTTAGATCCTGGTTTGAAAGATCCTTTAGAATAAATGGTATTAATTCTGATGAAAGATGTTCTATCAAATTAACTATATATATTTTTTATATAGTTAGAATATCTTTAATCAAAAAAATAAGGCTAATAATACACGATCACTCTGGACTATAGATTGGACTGAAAAATTAGTCATAACTTGAATTTGACTATTAGATAATGTCAAAATATAGTCTATTTTTTCAAATGAGATCGTAAAATTATCATCTATGGTTAGTAATGAATTATGCATATCAAAATTTGCACTATTTTCTCGTAACTACAGCATTCTCAAGGTTAAATCAGAAAAATGATCAGGCTAATCTGGTTCAATAACTATAAATTTACTAGGTATGCTTTTATACTTCTTATCACTATTAAAGGTAATACATAGATTAACCTTTTTTAATGTGAAATAGGATACATTCAGAGTCACAATATTATTGCTTTTATCGTGATATATAATTCTTAATTCACCAATATATTTTTGAGTAATGCAATTTACATTAGTGTTTGTGTCAAGCATTACCTGAGTAGTGTCATTTTCTTTAACTGCACAATTTACGAGGATTATTTTATTATAGCATATAATATTCAAATATAAAAAATAAACTTAATATAAAGCGCCTGATTCTTTGAACCCTTCTAACTTAGCCCACTTCAAACTACATATAGCTTAACCTTTCTTGGTCATGCCTTCCTTCGTTACTTATAAGGGACATCCTTTTTTTCTCTTACTTAATACCAATGGACCTCTCAATTATCTTATTCGAATCAGAATCCTTAGAAGACTCAGAAAAAGCCTTACCTTTTTTATCAATCAGCAAGGAAACTATTTCATGTATTAAGTTGATTACAGCTTTCCTATTTACATATTTATCTAGATTATCCAATTCAATATTTAAGCATCCCACATCTCTTTCCAATCTTTTTACCCTCCTTTCTAAAGAATTATGTTGGGAATGATAATCTTCTAATTGTTTCTTTAGTATACTATTTTCATCAGAAAACACATTATATATTTCTGTATTCTGTTCGTCTAGTCTAAATAACTTAGCTATTTTTTCTGTACGTCTGATAACTTCCTGCTCTCTGGATGCATCAGATAAATGATTTTGATCGATTACTATTTTTATGATATTTTATATATGATATATCTTACCTCAAGCGAAAAAATAAAATTAATAAATAATATCAGACTGATAAATTAGTCCTCCCGACTCTCTAACCCATATATGTGATTAGTTTTCATCAGAAATCCAAAATGGTTTTGCTTGATCATAAGATTGCCTTCTCCTTCTGAAATTAATTATAGTATATCTATCAGATGGAAAAGTATGATTATCAGGATTGTGACGAAGTGCTTCACTGACATAAGTATTAGCTTTTAATGGATTTTTAGGCTCATGTATTACAGAAGCAAATACCATCCCTAATTTGCACAAAGAACTAGAGAGTAGTGGCTTATAAGTTTTAGAAATATATTCATTTTTTTTCAGAAATGAACTTAAGTATGTCGATTTAGGCTTTCCTGAATCTTTTAACGCTTTAGAAATGATTGCTTCCTAAATCTATATACAATCAACTCTTGATACAACGAATTTTGATATAACGAATTTCACAATACAATGAATCTTCGGTGTGGTACAGATTATTCTATATTAAAAAAACCTTGTTATACTGAATTATACTAGTTAAAATGATGTATAACGTTATACGAAGAAAATTTTTTAAACACAATATATAAAATGACCCTTATTGTAACGAATTACAGTTATAACGAATTTTTTTTTTGACATAGCAAAGGAATTTTTTTAAGGATAAATTAATTTACTATAAAGATAACTTGACATTTGTTTTTTTCTTAAATGTAGTAAATATACTTTCTTTTAATAATAAGTCAATTAATAAAGATGGATTTTTGCATTTCACAATCATATTTTGTGTTCTTTTTTTTTACATAAGTTTTTTTCAAAATGCCAAAAACAAAGTCAACCCCAACTCCTAAAGAATAAACTGAAACTTCTAAAACTAAAAAACGTCAATCACTTACCACAGCATAAAAAAAAGAAGTTTGTTTAAAAAAATTATCTTCCCCCTTTTTAAAAAATAAAGACTTAGCTAAAGAGTATGATGTAAGTGAAAGAATGATTAGTGATACTTTAAGGGCAAAAGAACGTTGGCTTGCTGTTGACCTTAATTCACATCAAGCTGGATTAAAGCATGAAAAGAAGGTTCCCTTTCCCCTCATCGAAGAAGCATTGACTATTTGGGTAGAAAATGCTTTTTAAACTGGTCTAGTTTTAATTGATGATATTCTTTCAATTAAGGCCTTGGAGTTCGCTTTTTTACTTAAAGAAGATAAATTTAAGGGATCAATGGATGGGTAGATGGTTTTAAGAAATGACACAACTTAAAACAATACAATATACATAGTGAAGCTGTGAGTATGCTGCTTGAAAACCTTAGTATAATGCAGGAGGATCTTTGTTAAATGTTAAAAGATTATAATCCTGAAGACATCTTTAACTGCGATGAAACGGGTTTATTTTAGAAAATGAAACCTAGTCGAACAATATCTAATGATCTAGTATCCAGAACAAAACAGTCAAAAAATCATGTAATCATTTTACTTACCTGTAACGTGATTGGGAACGAAAAGTTACTTCCATTATTCATACATAAATATGAAAATCCTTGGGCTCTTAAAAATATCAATAAGAAAACTCTCCCAGTGGACTACTATTGGAACAAAAAAAGTTGGATGCAGATGTCGATTTGAAATGAATACATTAAAAAACTCAATAACTGAATGAGAAGACAAAATTGAAATATCCTTCTTCTTGTCGATAACGCTCTAACATATGCTTTGTATGAAACCACCTACCTAACAAATATCACACTCAAATACCTACCTCCAAACACCACATCGCATCTTCAACTTTGCGATCAAGGTATCATCAATAGTTTTAAGTCATAATATCAGAAGCTATATCTATGAAATTGAGTCAAAGCTTTTGATAAGTTTCATAAATTTGGTATCAAACCTGTGGAAATTGACATTAATAAATGTATCAAATACGTAACATGTGTATAAGATAATGTTACAAGTGTTACTATTGAACATTGTTGGACAAAGGCAGATATTTTGCCTAATAATAATGACGAGGATTATAAAAACCATGATGCTAATATCGAACTTGAAATTCAACGTTTAAAGGAGTTGGAGGAAGTTCAAGTATTAATCGATAAATTCAGTTTTGAAGACCCTTTGACTGCTAATGAGTTCATATAATATGACAAATCTGAGATTGCACATGAAATGATTTCTGATGAAGAAATCATCAAAGCAGTTCATCTCGAAGAAAAGGAAGTGGAGACAGTAGAGATACCTTTATCACAAATCACTCATAATGATGTTATTGAATTATATGATAAAGTGATTTTATATTTAGAATAACAGAAAAGCGATTATGATAAGAGAAAGGAAGAATTAAAATTTATTAAAAGTCTAAAAAATGAAGCCTTAAAATGTTGTTTTATTTCTGCAAGACAAGTTAGCCTCGATAATTTTGTTTTGTTACAATAATTTAGTATTATTTTTTTTCTTTTTTTTTCTTTACGTGGGTAGTTTTTTTTTCACGTAATAATTTGAATGAATTGTTTTTTTTGCGTAATAATAATAAAATGATATTTTTAAAATAATAT